CCACCATGGAATACCTGGAAGCACTGTCGCATTATAGGACTCCTAAACAGTGCACATCCACAATACCGCCCGAGGGATTGTCAATGTCCCTTTAGATAGTATCAATAGAAAACAAAGAAACTCAATAATAAGCAAAGATGGATAGTGGCTAGCAGTGGAATCCAGGACGCGCGTTTCGTCCAATTTGGGACTCGTCAGCTGAACGTATCTGCATCTCAGAGTTGATGTTCACTCCGTGACTCGAACCCAGTACTTTTCGCTCCAAACGCCATCGCGTTATCCACTCGGCCACTGAGTCCTGATAGCCAGTTGCTTGTGCAATAGAGTGAAGGTACTGGGTTCGAGTCCCAGAGTGAACATCAACTCTGAGATGCAGGTGCATCCAGCTGACAAGTCCCAAATAGGACGAAACGCGAGTCCTGGATTCCACTGCTTGTCACTATCCATCTTTGTTTACCATGCTTGTGAATTTAGGCTATATCGAGGCAATACGCACAGTATGCACATATGCCAATTAGAGACTGACCAGTTGCAGTCCTAAAAACATCAATGGGAAAATCCAAACAAACAATACTAAGCAAACTCAATAATACTTTAGTGATCACTTTTCATGATAATAAATCAGTGAAATGCATTATTATTATTATTTCAAATGATAAGTATAGTGATGACTATGTTAATAGTTTGTTCACAATTTGTTTTGACTTACTAGAATGGCAAGTTAAAATAATCATTGTGTCTATTTAACAGTAATAGATTTATAACTTAAAGCCTTATGTTTATTTTTTTAGATTTAGCAGGAGTGATTATATGTGACTCAATAATAAGTAAATTGTTTCCATTTATCATTATTAAAAAAAATTGTTTATTTTTTAAATGTCCTAAAACGAAATTTATAAATAATCTATTTTGATTCATTATTTTTCTGTTTAATGTACCAGTATTTGGAGAAACAATTGAACACAGATAAAATCATTAATCAATCATATTGATCATATGAAATACGAGAATAATTTGATAATAAAATCGGAAATTGCTAAGGGATCTAATATTGTCAAAGCTAATATTTTTTTATTTTGAACTAGCAATTAACTCCGCCTGTAGCCTCTTCAGGGCTACTGCCAGTCACAAGCTCACACAAAGGAGGGTTGGGCAAGGGGTTTGCGACCCCATCCCGTAGAAAATCAACTCGCTAAAAATCGCTAATCAGAAAAAATTATTCAAACCATTTAAACTCTGCGCTGGGAGTCAGAAGGTCTTCATTTAGAAAAGTTATGACGCCTCATTGTGAAAGCCAAGTTCCTTCGGAAGTCACGAGGACGATGTCCCTTCTGACAACCGGAGAAACCAATTATGGTACATGGAATGCTTGTACAATGTAGGAGACCTGGAGAGTTCCAAATTGCTACAAAAATAAGGGGATACAATCTAAAGGTGCTTGGAATCATTGAAGCACTTTGGACGCAGGTTGGAAAACAACCACTAGCTTAAGGGGAGCTGCCGTTATGCTACGGCCATGAAGAAGAAAATGCCTCACATACACAGAGAGTTGCATTGATGCTTTCCAAACAAGCACAAAATGCACCTATAGTATGGGAATCTCATGTATCCAGGATCATCAAAGCCTTCTTCAAAACAAAGAGAGAGGGCATTGCAATGAAAGTCATCCAATGTTATGCGTCTACCAACGGTTACAGGCTTTAAGATCAATTCTACGATAGGTTGCCGTCAATTGTCGAGAAGTGGCCAACCAAGGACTTGACCATTCTGATGTGAGATTTAAATACCTACTACTACTAGGGGGAACACATGGAAAAGGATAAAAGAAGCAATTACTCCAAAATGTCATAAGATTCTGGGCCACAAAAATCATCACCACAAGGAATGGATCACTGTTCGTACACTGGATAAGATTGAAGAAAGGAGGAACAAAAAAAGCGGCAATCAATACCAGCCAAGCAAGAGCAGAAAAATCTAATACACAAACCGAATACACAGAAACAAACAAGCAAGAGAAGGGGAACATCAGAACCGATAAACGTAAATATGTAGAAGATTAAGCAATAACGGAGGAAAAGGCTGCAAGAGAGGGAAACATGAGACAACTGTATGACAGAACGAAAAAGCTACCTAGAAATTACCGTAAGCCAGAACGACTGGCGAAAAGAGGGAAGGCAAGGTAATCACCAACATTGAATAACAAAAGAACAGGTGGGTAGAACACTTCGAAAATCTCTTGAATCGACCAGCTGCACTGAAGAGGAGTCGCAGGCTTAAGTAACTATGTAAGCAAGTAAGCATAATCAATAAAAGTAAAAACAAAAATTAACTGCAACTTCTAATAAACATGCTTTAACAGGAATCATATAGAGCAAAAAGACAATTCCATTGTCGTGAATATAAAATCAAATCAAATTTATGAAAAACTGATAAAGGAATTTTTTTGTCTAAAAAATTAATCTTCAACTTCGATCATATTTAAATACGAAACTGAAATACTCATCAATGATCATGTTGTTATTCAACTCTCTACATCTACAAATGATAGTAAAACCATAAATAGAAAAGACTCGAACATCTGTCAATAAGCGTAAACGTATTGCCTGAAGATTTGAGAAAATGATGGATTGAAATTCTGAGTTGTTACGATTTATAAGGATGTTTTCCTCTCGACAGTTCGTTATTTCACGTGTGGGTAAGTGAATTGATATTCACAAAAATAAGAATCAACTCTCTCTCATTCTGATTACATTTCCTGTGTATATTCGGTTGAGTACGGAAATTCGGAGCAACTATTCTCCATCACAATATTCATTTGTTTGAATGGACAAGCACCGATTCAGATAGAAAACATGAATGATCAGTCAATGAGTCGATCATTCAGTCAGTAAGTTAGTCGACCGACATGAAGATAATCGAAACCAATGTGGTTGCAGGTCATCAACTGACCAATATCATTTCATTTGATCCTAATGTTATGTGTGATAGTTGTTTGTTTACCAGCATAAGTGTTACTGGATGTTATTGATTAGTTAAGTCGTTGTTTTGATTATTGTCATACGATGAATATTTTTACGAGTGATCTCAGAGATTAATTTATTACTAGATAGTGATCAGGAAACATCAACATTGTTTTTGCTGGTATCTCGTTAATGACATATTTCATCAGAAATTCGTTATAATTTTTTGTTGTGTTCATTTCGTTGTGGATCGCAGGATCGGAATATTTATTACTTCTCAATCAACAAATCTATTATTTGATCCTGAATAAAATATTTTCAGTGATTGATTTGTGTTCTAAGGAATAATTTTGAGTTGAGTTGTTCCATAAATATGTACTGAGTTTATGACTGATCGTTAATTGAAAAGATAATTAGTGGTGTTCGAGAAGTTACCGACTAAATGATGTCCACTGTTTATATTCAATTATGTGGTACCGGAGTTCACGGTCTCCTACTTAATCATTTTTCCGTCTATTAGCTCTGGAAGATTGAAGTTACCAGTCTGTATCAGGTAGTGGTCCATTCCAACAGAAAATTTGAGTAATTTTACCATACAAGGTTTTGAGAAGAAGTAGGTAGGAGACCTCTGGCTTGGATTTCACGCTAATTTTGACTCATCAAATAGATGTAAGTTTTCCCGAATAGGCTGATCTTAATTATGATATTTTAGCCCACGTTATCCAGCTTCACTTTCTGAGATGCCACCTTCGATGTGTTCAGAAGCCAAGTGAGCTCTGATAAGACTTAGATATTTGAAATTACTCATCACAGAGTATTGATTATTAGTGTAAATACATTTATGCCAGGAATGAATTTAATAAACGCTTGTTATATATGCAATATGAACACAATCCAATCGCTATGGAGTTACTGATAATGACCGTAACAATCGGACTTTCAAATTTAGAGTTTCCTGTAAAACGTGTTAAGACAACTAAGTCTAGTCACTAAACATTTGGTCTCAGCTTTTCATGTGATGTTTATCCGGTGATAGCTGAAAACAAACTGTTCTAAAAACGTATACTAGCTAAAATTGTATGTAAATGAGATTTTTCCCCCTTGAATTTTACAAGAGTAACGACCACTTATACATTTCATAGACCAATAATATAACGTGACTATAAACTTGTCCATAACATACTGATTTCATCCGATGAACAAAACTGTTTAAATTTGTATCACATTATTTTTTTAATTAATTTGAAATTAAACTGGTTGTATCAGGGTTCATTTTGTTTTACTTATCATCATATAGGCAGAAAAAACTATCGATTGATTGATCACTAGGTGGTGATCAATATCATGTGTGTCAGGTCCTTCTGAGTGCGGATCGAATACCTACCTACCTACCTGCTGACGAGTGCCAAGTATCAGGAAAAATTCAACATGGGGTAATAACTTAAATTTCTATTATGAAGGAATATAAACATTAAAGTTCCGTTTTATCAATATTTCTGCTAAAATTAATAAGAAATAATTTTTTTGAGAACTCATTATTCAATATTCATGTATAATAAATGTTACCATGCAAAATATAATGTTAAATGGACTGATTATTTCTACAGTTTAACTGACATTTATTTTCGACAGTTTTCTTAAGTGACTCATACAATATCGATCAAAGATTTACTTTCCTTTTAAAAACTGAACACATAAAGTGAACCTTAGCACAGCCTAGTCAACCAAAGTATTCAAGATTATATATATATACTCGGGGTTTACATCTCATAATGTAGATAAAGAGTTGAAACTCAATAAGGCGGTACTACAAATGATTTAATCTATCTAATTCTAAAACTTCTTACTTTTATTGAAATTAATGTATTTCCTCTGAAAGGGATGATATTCGACTGAAATTTAGTTAAAATTGTAGTTAGGCGTTGATAATCTAGTCTATGGAAAACGTTTTTAACTGAATGGAAGAAGAAAAATCAAAAATGTAGATAATTATCTTTTTTATTTATCATTATTATTACACATAGAAAATTATATTAGAAATTATAGGCGTTTCCCAATCATTGGAAATACAGTTGACAATATAAATTGCATACTCTCCTTATTATCATCAATTTCCATATACGATACAATTGTATCAGTGAATATAGGCAGAATGGACTGAATTGAATTTATGCAATGAAACAACCGGAAGTCGTCATTGTAGTAGTAGTAGTAGTGGTAGTAGTAGTAGTAGTAATCGTATTTTGTAGTTGACAATTCGATTTATTTTTTTTAATTATTGAGAAAGAACATAAAATAATTTGTATAAAAACATGAAAATATTTCATACAAAATTATAAATTATAATGCTAAAGTAAGTTAATTAACTTAGAGGATTGTTCAAATCATCAGTGTTCAACTGTTCAATGTAATCAGTGGAATTCAACCAGATCTGTTGTGAGATATCAACTCACTGAACACATTGGTGAATGGTTGCTCAATTTCGTGGATTGGTTGAAGTTAGACATTAACACCGTTGGATGCCGTCTCAATGGTCTAGTGGTTAAGCGCGCGCGTGCGCGAAAATGATAGGTCCTGGGTTCAAATCTCGCAGGGCGGGATCGCAGATGCGCACTGCTGAAGAGTCACACAATGGGACGAAACGGCCTTCCAGTGCTTCGAGGTTCTCCATGGTGGTCTAGCTCCAATCGACTCATAATCTCAACTATATAAAATTAATAAAATCTCCACTAAACCCCCTTCTGCTTAATGTATCATAAATTACAACATGGTAGATACCAGTATGTAAATATAAATAACAGTAAACAATGTACGTGAAATATCATATTCAGTAATAAAGTATGATTAGTGATTATCCAATAGTTGGGTTCAGTTTACGCAGTCGTTAAGGAAACTTGTTGACGATTTGATTAATTACAGTAAAATCAATTTTTAAATATACATTAAGTAAATTGCAATTCTTTTGCAAAACAACCATAAGTTGTATGTGAAATGTAAAGAATCGTAATGAACAAACTATGTGATGATTTTTCTGACAGTTATGAATGTTTTATACTTTTTAGAAATATATTTTTGAAAAAAGTAAAGTTTGCAAATAACCATCTCTGTGTTATTTCATCAACTATAAGTCAACCTGTTAAGTCATACTTTTTCACTTCAGCTATCATGCAGTAGAACGATGCATAAACACAATGGAATTTGAGTTTTGCAATACCTAGTGCAGCATATATATATATATATATATATATATATATATATATATATAATGTGATAGTAAATATCTTTTAAAGAAACCTGATCTCTAAACATTATGACTAATGTCAGCAAACTACACTAGAGTAAGAAAAGACTAATTTATTGATTCGGGCTTTAGTATAATTAATCCTTCATGAAGTGTATTTTTTTCAAGAATGTTTTATCACTGTTATGATCACAACAATTCAGGGATTCATTCATCATAGAAATGTTAGTTTCTTGGTCGAAAGTGACCGTTTTTTATTACCAACATCAATAAGTGATAAAAGAACAAGCCAATAAAAATATGTCATTCAATCTGGTAAAATTAGGCGTTGAACACCGATCAAACTAATAAATTCATGTTTAAATGATTACACACATCTAGATTCACTCGGTGTTGTTTGCTTTTATCTTCCCATTATTGTTTAGAACTGAAATTGATCAGTCTCTTATTGGCATAGGAAGATATAAGCAAACAACACCAAGTGAATTTAAAAAAACTTCGCCCCACTTCACAACTAGGCGGCTATCAGGACTCAGTAGGTAAGTAGATAACGTGATGGCATTTGAAGCGAACTGTACTGGGTTCGAGTCCCGGGGTGAACACTAAATTTTGGCTGCATGTACACCCAGCTGACGAGTCCCGAATAGGACGAAATGGGCGTCCCGAGTTCCAGCGCTAGCCACTATATATATATATATATATATATATATATATATATATATATATATATATATATATACAAAAGTGTGATTATATAAAAATAAACATACCACAAAATGAGCTACGGTTAATCCGCGATTTGTATGTATTCCAGCTAAATATTTAACCGTTTCTTGTAGTTTCTCTTCCTCATTAAAATTCCTCACAATTTTCATGATATTATCCACATAACATATAGCCATTTTAGTAAGATAATCCAAATTCAATGCTTGAGGCAAAGTGACTGATTGAAGTGGTTTATACATTTTCATAAAATTAGGATTTTTGATTAGAAGTCTAGATAAATGGAGAAAAGCATATAAACCGATATATATATATATATATATATAGATATATATACTTTATGCAGTACTTTGAATGTAATATTATTATGAGAATCTTCAATAAATTGTGAAGATAAATACCAGTATATATTGATATCAGCTGATCACTTCTGTAAAATATGAGTTTTGCTTTCTATCCACAGTTTCCTTAGTAGTTATGTACACAAACATCAATAAAATTGAATGAGAAACGCATTCAATCATCAATTATTAAAATTAAAACTTTTATTCTCCAAGTTATTATTCATGGTGATGAAAAACCGATTTGAAGTTTTTGATAAGCCGAGAAATAAATAAAATGGATTGTTTTGGATATTAGAGTAATTTAATAGTTGAATTCATGAGTCATTTAAAGCTAGATCATAATGGAAAACCTGGAAGCACTGGACGGTTGTTTTTTTTTAGTATGAGACTAGGACTAAACGGCCGGCTAATGCTTTCAGGTTCAAGAAATAATTATCGTAAAATTCATTTGATAATAATTAATTATGAGTAGAAAAATGATTATTTGGATATGCTTAATTATTATAAACATGTAATTGGATAAAATTTTATTACATTTTTAAAATACTTTATTTACTGGATTAAGTCAACTAAATAATAAAACTTCTTTGTATTTTTAAAAAAGATTACTCTATACCCTAAACATATATAACTATATAGACAACAATATTTTTTGTAAATTCAATCGGAATATAAATGGATAGTTCCAATCTTAATTATAAATCAAAATTCATTGCATAATTTTCATTAAAAGACTACAACAGGAGTTCAATCCATGTCGGGTAGAAACACTTATCGACCTCAGACAATAGATGAATGGTTACTCAAGATCGTCGATTGATTGGAGTTAGAAATTAAATTATTGGATTCCATCTCAGTGGTCTAGAGGTTAAGCGTTCGTGTGTGAGACCAAAAGTCCTGGGTTCGAGCCTTTCATGCGGGGTCGTGGATGAACACTGTTGAGAAATCCCATACTAGGAAAAAAACTGCCATCCAATGCTTCCATGTTTGCAATGGTGGTTTATTAAAATAAATAAATAATTCCGATTTTCAAATACAAACAAGAATAAATATAGGGCTTTCTGGTTTTAATTATGAAAATATTTTTGATTAGAAAATGAATTAATAAAAAGACTAGAAAATTTAGAATAAACTTAATATCTAGGCTGACATTATTAGGAAATATGCAAATGATTTCATTGCATCACATAATTTGGTAAATTTAACTTTCATGCCAAGACTAAAATTTAATTAACTATGATAGAACGAAAGAGTAGTTGATTATAAAGCAATTTTTTCAATATTAGAGTTATCAGTAGATTAAATTTTATGTATGAAGATTAACATTTTTGATGGAAGAAAACGGGGATTGGAATTTGATTCGAATTAGAAGTTTTCAAAATTATTGATTTAGTTTATGATTACATCTTATAATTTAGATGATGTAACAGTTAGACAATAACGCAATTATAACATCGCTTCATGTACTTCGGCTTCGACAACTAAATAAGATCTTAAAATAATGTAGAAAGCTAAGTCAATGAACTTCTATTAAATAACTAAATTCAATATACTTATGATACATATTACATTTATTCATGAAACAATGTCTTTCAGCCCAATAAGTTGAAATTAGTTTTCACATTTGTTATAACGTGTGAATGTGTGCGTGCCCAGTTGTTATATCGATTGGGTGCGTACGTGCCCTGTTTGATATATAACGTTATACGACCGCCAATGATTGGGCAGTGTTTTATCGATTGAAACAGTGACACACAAAAACCGTACAAGCAGTCTAGAGTGCTTATCGATCTTGATTTCTGCATAGCCCAGCCAGTTAAGTCCAGAACACCAATAACAGCCTCTGCTATGTGAATCATTATCCTCAAACATACTGGGTTTATATACCAATCAAAATGACCACATCGTACCATAAAATAAAAAATAACATTTGAACAAGATTTGGCCAAATGCGGCTGCGAATAGGGGGAACAATAATTAATAGACTGTGGATAAATCAGGAATGATAAATCGTATAATAATAGTCTATAGGTCAAAACAAAGCTTATGATAAGAGGAATATGAATAGTTTAGTTACTTAGCAATTACACAATAGCAAATATACATATCATATTGATCCATATATAGTACTCAATAGTTACCATTCATAATTCTTCATCGGATACAACAACATTCTTTAAAATTTTCATCTCATAATGAGACTCGTTATTCAAAGCTGTCAAATACTAAATAAATCATAAAATCGCAAATCACCTTAAGTATCAGTGATGAGATTTATAAAAATGAATTAAAATCTTATCATTTATAAAATAAGCATTAATTCATTCGAATATGTTTTTACCACTGAATATCTTTTAAAACATATGACAACTTAATTGAATGTAACGTAGAGATGAAACTTAGTTTAAAGATTACATTCTAGATATAATCGATAAAATGTCAATTTATCACTGATGAGTCGATATGACGTCAATGATAATACAGTAACTGATTGGTGTAATTATATATGATACATATGTTATAAGTTCTAACGTCATTTATGGTTTACATTTTTTTTGAATGTGAGTCCTGTTTCTATGATCCTCTATGGAGCTCTTTAACATACCGTACTTAATAAAAACATAATTAACTATGGAAATGAACCAAACAAATAGCTAACTACATAATAGATAGATTATTTCGGTCAATGTTTAATGTCTGATTAATTTAAGTAATCTGATAAATACTTTTATAGTAAAGGAAAACATAAGTGAGGGACAATCGAATGTATTTGAATACGAAATTACAGAACATCTTAGTAAAATCTGAGGACCGTGCAATAAAAAATTAATTTGCAAAATATCAATCAATTGTCTCAGACTTGACTGTTCCTTCTGCTAAATGTCAATCAATCGTCTCAAACTTCATTGTTCCTTCATTTCCACAGTAATCATTCACTATTTTCGTTCTCTTTTTACTTCGATCTTCTTAACCTTCTACTGCCAGGTATTTCACTTCCGATTGATGTTACGTATCACTTATATCTATCGACATCGGTAGCACACACCACATTTTCAGATATTAATAATAAAACTATAAATACTTTTCATTATTGATTGATCACTGAGTGGTAATCAATGTCATGTGTATCAAGTCCTTCTTAGTGCAGATTGAATACTATCAATCAAGTTGTAATGTGGCCACTAATCTCGTTGGCTCGACACTGCGTGCTTTATGTTGAGATAAGATGGTGGTTGGAGGTGGTCAACAGGAAACCCTGAACCCGGGTTTCGTGCTACTTAGCACTCTTCAGCAAGATGTACCTGTAATATTGAGGGAACTGGTGCTCCCTGACAGATTCGATCCCGTGTCAATCAGCTTCACAGTCAGAGATGTTACCACTGAGCTATCCGAACCGCGACCGATCTCCTGTAGGACTGAGATGTAATCACAATTGATTGATCACTGGGTGGTAATCAATGTCATGTGTGTTAAGTTCATCTTTTATTTCACAATTTACATTAATTTAACATTTTGAAGAAAAAAAAGAATATTGTACACATTTTTTTTCATTTGAAATAAGATAATCATTTAAACTAATTGTATCAATACTATAATGTGTGCTAATTTTTATTGATCCATAGAGAAAATATTTTGTTTTGAAAGAAAAGAAAACATAATAAAATTTGGTTTAAAATAATTGATAAACACAACAAAAAGAATTTTTATAATTATCATAAATGAAAACAATAATAATAATGTTAAATAATTTGCATTAATGAGTAGATTGGAATTTTGTAACTAATAATTTTGCTAATAATTGGTACCATATGTTGACAAGAAGAGAAAAAATAAACCAAACATTACAAAAATACAACTTGACATAGTTTACACCGTTTGTTTTATATTCGTTAGTTGTATCTGGGTTTGTTTGTTTTTGTGTTTTTTTTTTGGTTTTCTAAAGTATGTTAAATTAAATGCGTGATGATATTTGTTAATAATGTTTAACAATGAGTTTAAATAATAGAAATATAAAATAATTAAAATATTGTCAAGTGATTGAGTCTGTCAATTAGAAAATATAAATGGTTATATTGGTAACTAAAAATTCCAGGACTAATAAGTTCTTCAGTTATAAGAGAGTTTATTCAATTGGGTTATTTATTTATTTATTTAAACACATAAATATTGGTACAAAGAAGCACCAGATATATATGCGCCACACAAATCTCATTTGATTTGTGTGAGGGCTGTGATACTGCCCGGGTGCCCAAACCGAAGCAGACTGGGTTACTGTATATTGAATAATATCATAGTTTTTTCCTCGGACTAACTCTTCTTATCTAACATATTTAGTTATTTTTCGTCATTAAAATAGAATCCACATAAATACTGATGATCAGGGTGTTTCATTGAAATGAATGGATAAATGTTTATACTAAACTACTTACTTATGTATTTCCCACATCATTCACTTTAAAAACTACGATATGTTTCCTAAGTGAGTTGAGTTATGAGTATGACAGAATATATGTTTCACATATTTTTTCACATATTAAACTACTAAAAAGTATGGTAGGCTTTATGATTAAATAACCACCAGAAATTATTAGTAGCACTACTCAATGAATAATCATATCATGTCCTATTGACTGAATCATTTATTTTTTATTTCAAAGATTTTCATTTTCCACCCATTGATATTCAGAACTGAAATGAGAGGTTTCTGTTAATGCAAGGAATTTCTTTGATTAGATGCATCAATATTGTCCATATTTGCAAACCGATTAGATTTTTTAGATAGTAGCTAATAATAAATTTAAGACATACGCTACTCGTTGTTATAAACTCAATAACTTAAAGCACCGTAAACTATTATCAAGGTTCCTATGACTAATAATACATATACCAGAGTCGTTATATAATTAGTGACCTAAATAGAATAAATGC